CAGAATAACGGGTATTTTTGAGTTAAGGATTCATTTCTCAACAGTTGAATGGTCTAACTAAACAGGTAATTTGAGCTCAGTGGGTCTACCAGGTTGATCTCAATGATTCAAATTGTTTAATTCGTAAGATTTGGAATAGTTTATTTATGAAATAAATCAGGTTGATTGGAGATCGATAGTCATAAAATTTGATCACATTTGTCTTCTAAGGAAAATATAATTTTCAAAATAAATTATCTTTTGTTTTTTTTTTGAAATTTTAAAATGCAAATGTGGTAATCATGTAACTATTGGTTTTTGATTAACATGATTTTTTTTGTTTTTGTTTTTTTTGAAAAGAGGAGGGGGGGGTGTTGGATAGGTGATCTTCCCTAACAAAATGTTGGGATGGGACATTTGGTGACTTACAATTGGTGGTTTTATAGACCCATCAAAGGATATAAGGATATAGATAGTAAAAGGGGAAGATAAACTTTGGAACACAAAATAGTTAAAAGTTTGCCTATGGTTGATGTGAGAACATTGTTGTTGTCATATTTATCCTTGAAAGAAGATTAACATGAAGCAACTTGGATGACAAGACAGTTTAGGCATGAGTCTGGATGAGTAGAGGTGACTTCTATCCACTTCCTTGATCCATTACGTACCGACTTCACAATCTTTCTATATCAACCCCAACTACTTCATGTATGATGAATATGTTAAATTAGAGTGGAAAAATCTCCAATTGATTCAACATCAAATTGCACACAATTCAAGGTTAGTATGATTTACGAGTTTCAATTTTACTATTGATATAGAAAAAATTACAGAATAGATGAATTGATGGAGTTTTTAAAATTATTACTGAATATTTTTGAAATTTTTTTTATTCTTCTTTTGAAACACTTGAAATGAATTTGTTAATTCTGATATACTTTTGTCTATGTAGTTGTAGTTGTACAGAGATTATTTTTAGATCAAGTTTAATTGTATCTGTAAAACAAATTTATTGTAATCCGATAAGTAAGAGAAAACAATTCAATACTGTGACTTAAAATTATTTTCAATCCACAATTAAAGTTCTTGACAACACCAAATTTGAAGACCACTTTTTCAATAGGGAATAAAACATAGAAGCGGCAAATAAGAGAATCAAATATAAAAACTGATTGATTATAAAAAGTGGATAAGATTTTCATTGATTTTTTTAAAATGTTGCGATGGGACAAAGTGGCCAATGTTTATGGGACCAAACCCGAGTGTGACGTGTAATATTAACCCGATCCGGATGAGTGCTTGCATCATGCATGACCCAATGCTTTTCTAAGCACACACCCATTTTAAATTTTATTTTTGAAAGTTTGGTTACTTTGCTTTGTGAGGTAAGACAAGTATACAACTACCAAATATACAAATTCCATCAATGTAGACCAAAAAAAAAAACAAATAAAAAGGGCTAGAAAAGCTACTTTGTACTAGTAAGCAAGGAATGCTCAAATGGCCCCTTAGCAATGCCCTTGCAGTGCTCAATGGGCTCCACTCCCTCACCCCCACCCGCCTCAATGGCCTCATGTTTTTATCTCTCTCATCAATCCCTCCAAAGGTGAGTATCTCTCCAACCAAATAGAAAAGCATCAACATGAGTCCTACCAAACCCAATATATTTTTGGTCGCAGAAATTGTGTTTTGAGATTTTCTATATTGTGTGGTTGGAAGTGTATTGGGATTAAGGGTATAACTTAGGCAATCTCAACTAAAATAGTCTGAGTTAAGCTTGCAAAATTTTAAAATTTAGCCAGTATAATTTTAAATTTATTCAGCATCTGAATTAAAATTTATTAATCCAAATTAAATTTGGCCAGGGCCTCAAGGGTTCTCAATAAGGGTGTGCACAAGTCGATTTGGATTAGTTTTGAGAGAAAATTATCAATCAAACGCCATTGGTAGATTGAGAAATTTTCAATATGCCACCAATTCATCCATACTCAAAACAGGCAAGTTGATCGAATATTTTGGTGATTTCATATCAATGGTTTAAGTGGATTGGGAGGGTTAGAAATACAAAATAGAAAAGAACACCAATAAACATATAATTTTTTTTTAATGCAATTTTAGCCAAAAAACTGACTATTTATTTCAAATCTCAACACAAAACTCACAAGTTAATCAAATGCATGTTCTTATTCAACTTATATTTCAAAAAATTAATATACTAAACAATCAAATTAAGAAAAAAACATTTGATGAAAATGAGGAATAAGTGTCATCCAATTAATGTATAACAATGGTTAGGCAGAGATTGTAAGTGAGAGGTGAAATATAATTTTGTACATAAATATAGCAGGTTAGGCATGCTTGTAGATGGATTGATAAATTTTAATCCATATATCAATCGACTTGTCAATTTATATAACTTGCCCAACTCAATCCGCTTGTCATTTCAAATTGCACTGATTGGTTTGAGTTAGCATGGGTTGAAACTCTTTTATACACCCCGATTTCTATTATTAATTTATAATTATATATAGGCTTTAATTATCTAAAAGTCTTATTCATAACAAAAATGTTTAAGGCTCTAAATGAGGAGCTCCAGAGGTGGGCCCACCTTATGATTTGATATTTTTGGCTTGTGATTTATTTATTTATTTTATTTTATTTTTTTATGTATTGCCACATCATTAGAGTTGGCATTAGAGCTCCAACTCTAGTACTCTCTATCATCACTCTATTTATAAATGTTATGATAACTCAGATCCTATTTCAGATTTTTTGAACAAATAAGTCCTATTTAGTAAAACTGAGAATATTATTAGTTTTTCCTAATCTTTAAAACTAAGAACATTATCAATTTTGTATAGTAATGTTCCAGATAATTGTTTCACTACCTGATGGAAAAAAAACAAAGTATGAGATTAAGCTTTTTGTCTTTTATCTATTGGTTTGATTTAACTATCCAATAAAACTGAAAACATTAGCATTTTTTCTAGTTTTAAAATTGAGAACATTATCAGTTTTTTTCATTTTTAAAGTGTTTTTTTTTTTTTAAAAAAAATTTTGCACATCAATATTCTATCATCATGATCTTTTATAAACATAAAATTTCCAATTTCAATCCAATTTTTTTTTTTTTTTTTTTTTTTTTTTTTAAAAAAAGATGGGGTTTTTAAGAACATTATCAATTTTGTATAGTAATGTTCTAGATAATTGTTTCACTAGCTGATGGAAAAAAAACAAAGTATGAGATTAAGCTTTTTGTCTTTTATCTATTGGTTTGATTTAACTAGCCAATAAAATTGAAAACATTAGCATTTTTTCCAGTTTTAAAATTGAGAACATTATCAGTTTTTTTCATTTTTAAAGTGTTTTTTTTTTTTTAAAAAAAATTTTGCACATCAATATTCTATCATCATGATCTTTTATAAACATAAAATTTCCACTTTCGTACAACTTTAAACCAATTTTTTTTTTTTTTTTTTTTTTTTTTTTTGAAAAAAAACTGGGTTTTTTTTTTTTTTTTTTTGCACATATTTTTTTTACAAAGTTTTTCCAATTTAAAAGTTGATATTTTAAAGTTTTGAAAATCAAAATAAATATCAAATTATCATGTTCCTTCATAGATAATCATAAATGATGAACAATCATTATTTGAAAGGTAATTCCGACTATTAAAATTTTAATAGGACTTGAAGGTCCAAAGAATCTTAGTTAAGATTTGATGGAATATAAGTTCATAAATTAGTCAATACTATTGTTAAATGTGCATATAAAATACTAAATTTTTTATTTCAATATAATCAACTACTATCGTTAAATATGTATAATTTAAATTAATTTTTTTATTATGTTCTATTTTGTAATTTTTAAAGATACTATTTCTCTTTTATTTTTTAAGAAAATGCAATACATTGATTTTTGTTTGAGGAGTTTATATCATATATATATAGGTTATTTTGGGAAAATGATTAAAAGTTATTTTTTGACTTTTTTTGATTGTTTTGCGAAAGAAAGAAGTGAGTTAAAAATTGAGAAGTGACTTTTAACTAACTTTCCAAATCTAACTTGATCTATGAGAAAAGAGATTGATTTAAGACAAAATCAATTAAATTTTGTGTGTGTGTTTGTTCAGTTAGATAATCCAACCCCACGTGAGTCGTTCAAAATAAATTTAAGTTTAAATTTTGATAAAATAATTTGGGCCGGAAATGAGCTTCAAATTCAGCTTGAATGTTTAAAAAATTGGGAAAATTTCCAATCGATGGAATATAAGAAAAATATTTATCAAAAGGTGATAATTCTTTTGAGATACTAATTTTTGTTGTATTTGTTTTACACAGAAAATAATTACTACACCTTATATGTCTGTAAATATTTTTTATCAAATAAACTGATATGTAATTCTCCAAAAAAATTTAATCGTAATTGGGATATAGGGACAAGTAGACTACAAATTTCCGAACAACAGGGTCCAACTGCTGATAGTTTATAAAAGAATAAGGGTCCAACTGCTGACGTTTGGAATGAAGTATGTAACCACCAATTCATTTTTTATTTATTTAATTTTATATACTTTTATTATCATTTTTTTGGGGACAATATGTGACTTGGCTTGAATGGTATTATATCGCTTTTCCTTGTTACACGTGTCATTATGTTGCCTTAAATTGATTTGCATATGAAAATTGATAATTTCGAATTCGTTTAGTAATTGACTTCTTAAATTTTTATAAAAAAAATATTTACAATAGTAGAATTATTTAATTGATTTTTTGTAATGATTTTTCAACTGATATCTTATTTTTCCAAACGAGGCTTAATATATAAAAAAATATTTAAGCTAAAAAATTAAAACAAAATTACTCAAAATTTAAATTTATGATTTAAATTTAATTTAATAAGTTGTTGATTACACCTAAGACAAATCTCGTCTATATCTTTCATTTTTGGGATAATTTTTTTTTTCTTTTTTGAGAAACATTTTTGGAATAATTAACGACATGTATTTTTAAAATAAATATCCAAAACATAACATGCCCATTTTTGAAGTGTCATAGAATATATTACAACATTTTGCTTGAGACAATACTAGTGCTCTGCAATGCTACATATGAAAAGATGGCACTACAAAAGCCTAGTTTAGATCCTATGTTGTTGGATCTTTTGCATTTTTCTTTTGGGATACATGAAATTGCAATACAATTCTCAAATTGAGAGAGAAGATTTATAACTGACAAGTCGAACTTTAACTTTCTAATGAAATATAAGTTCTGACTAACTAAACTATTTTTTATCAGATCTAATTTGGTAGACTAATTTCGTCAAGATCATCCAAAGCTAAGAAAACTTCATCCAAGCATGAAAGCTCCGTCCCATCGTTGTCGTCGTCGTCTTCACAGTTGCGTTCGTACACTCGACATACTACCCATTTACTATAATCCTGAAAATGCATTAAAAAAAATCCATCATATATTACTCATTATTCATATCAATCATACTACGAAGTTGGTATATAAAAAATAAAATACAAATGAATAGATAAAATTTTATATAACTTATTAGTTGGATCAATTTTTAAAAAATCTTATCCATTATATTCATATAGTTTTGTGACTAGTTTCTATAGCCAAAGATTAAATCACAGTACTTACTATTTTTGGATTTCCTCTTCTTTTAGATGATCTACTACTACTACTACTACTAGAACCAGAGTCTGAGAGCCGGTACTCCTGCATTATCCAGTTCGTTTTGGCCCCGCCGGCCGGAGCTTCTCCAACGTAGAACACATAATATTTCTTCATACCAACTGCAACTTTCTTGCTAGCACCACTGCTGAATATGGGTTCATCCAATCCCAATGGCTTCCAATACCCATTTCCGGTAACCCGGTTTTGTGTTTTCCGGCTAAAGAAGTACCATTTGTTCCCCTCCGCCATAGCTTTACCTTCAAGCTCAAATATATTCATATCATTATACATATATAAACAATTGTGTACTTAAAACAATTTTAAATTTAGGTTTGTGATAAACTTTCTTAATTAGTTCATTGTAGCATTTCACATTCTGTCCATTTTCACTGTCAAATACATTATATGGGAGTTGACTTAAAGATATTTATTTTGTTAATCTTTTAAGGTTGTTAATGCATTTTTTTTTTCTAATATTAAAAGAAAATATATCGGGTTTAAGATTGATTTTATGAATTTATGTTTTTAGTTGGTCTCATATACTGTATTTAATAACCAAAAGTGGAGAAAATATAATAGAAGGGCTACATTAAATTAATGTGAGAAATTAGAGGCTTTAATTAAATGCTTAATTGAAAAACAAATAATACCATATTATCAATAGAGTAATGCTAGAGACCGCAAATATTCTACCAAAAATTTTACCAAATGTCTCACATGGGGTGGGACCCACACAATGTGGGTCCCATGTGGGTCCCACCCATGTGAGACGTTTAGTAAAATTTTTGGTAGAATTTTTGGGACCTTAAGCATTTTTGTTATCAATAACACGTGATTTTGCTTAGCAAAATACTAAATTTTTATTTGACAGTAACGAGTGTCACTTATATTTATTAATATGAAAAATGTATAAAATATTTATTTATGTATAACATTAGTCTGCTTGCTTACCGTCTAAATCCCAGGGATCATAAGGATAGAGATCGAGATCAGGGATGACATCGGGATGGCAAGGTAAGAGAGCGGCCTTACGATGGAGGAAATGGACGACGAGCTCTTCATCGGTTGGGTAGAATCGGAACCCAGGTGGGAGGTTCACATTCTTATCGCCCATTTATATATTTGTAAAGAATACAAAAATGAAGAAGAAGAAGAAGAAGAAGAAGAGAATGATGGGGTTGGCGATGGAGTTAATGAAGGTTTTGGTTTGTGGGATTGATGATATTTATAGAGAGAGAAGAAGAGAGAGAAAGAGAAATGACGTGAAATGGAAGGAGTGGGTTTTGATTTGATAACCATTGATTAATTCATTCAAGAATGTTTTTGAATTTTTATTTAAGTGCTTCAAGGAATGAGAAGAATTTTAACAATTATAGAAGATTTTTTGCAGACCAAAAAAAAAAAAAAAATCACAATGTTTACATCAAACAGAGTGTATATTTTATATGATAGAATAAATATAAATTAAATTTATTTGTATTAGATATAAAATATACAAAAAAAATAAAATTTTGTCACATTAGGTATTTATTTATTGAAGGATGCCCATATTATTTGTTTTCAAATATATCATGATTTTTTTTTTTTTTTAAATCGTTAAAAAAATTTAGTATATATATAGTATAGATTGATAATGTGGGGGCATCATTATACTTCATGCTTATATCATCGAGATGTAGCCATCCACGTGTCAAGGTTTTGTTGTGTAGCCCATCTACCCGTCATGGCTTCCAAGAGACCCACTTGTTGGAGTGCCCCCAAACCCATAATTATCATAATTAAAATTATCTAATAATTGAGTTCTTCGGTTTATTTATTTATTTATTTATTTTTTATGTATTTATTTTAGGTCTTTCTGTTCCTCATTATGTATCTCCACGAAATTATAATCGATGATTCCAAAGGCTCTGGGTCATTGAGATCCAAAGCTTATGTATAATGAATGACAATCAAACCGTTTTTAAGGATGTGAGTTCAATTCAATTTGTAGGGCTCCATATGCATGTATGTAAGATTCATACAATCTCTATGTTGATATAAAAAAATTCAATATAATAGTAATATTGATGATATGGTATTACTAATAAATAATAAAATTATTAAAGATTAATCTTACTTTTTAAGTATTCTTAGCTTGTCACACATATGAAAAAATAACTGATAAAATATTGAATAGTGATACGGGTAATGTGATATTAGTGTTGTATTGAAATTTTTTTCCTCAACGTGGATATGTGTTCAAATGTGTAAGTAGGTGTGATTATTTAGCATTGCTAAAAATACGTGATTTTAGTCTTTTTTTTAAGACTAAAATTTATAAAAAGACAAAATAAGTTAAAATAATTAATAAGGAAAAATGTCATATCAAATTCATAATTATTTTATTTTTTCTCTCATAAATATAACATCCAACTACAAAAAAATTCAATTATCTTTTCAAATATAAAAATTTTAATTTATTAAAATAGTCAAAAACTAAAATAATTTACTAAAAGGAAAACTTTCCAAACACCCCATAATGAATAAAAGACTGGGAAGTTGAAACAAAGGACATTTCCGTAAGTTTGTGCAGCCCTTTCCTAGAAAACTCCTGGTGGATTGCAGGACAATTTTTCCACTGGGTGAGCCTAAAGCAGATGTCCGTCCAAGTCAACCATACTCATCAATGTCCATCTTCCATTTTCATTGTACAATAATTTAGTGTTTGGTTTATTGAAATAAAAATAAAATGTAATAGAAAAGTATAATTAAACATTATACAATCTGTTGAAATCACAAATAACCAAAATCAACAATCCATCCAAATAAACAAAATAAATAAATAAAAGAATTAAGATAACTACTCAATCAACAATGTAATGGTATAAGTGGTATATTGAATGAGAAAAGACAGTAAAACATACTATTATAATTTAATTTTGTGTTATTTTAATATTGAAATGACGAGATGAAAAGTGTGTTGTTTAATTGATCAAGTAATATATACATTAGTGAAAGTAAAAGTTGACCATAGCACAACTGATAAATGAATATTTTTTTAATTAGTCCAACTTCGTATTGCAATAAAAAGAAAAAAAAAACAATATATGACCATGTCAAACAACCTAGATTCACCAAAATTATTCCTATAAGTTGAGACTCTGAAATCAAAATAGAGAACCAACTACCGATCAGCCAAGTCAAATCAAGTTCATGTGCACCAAATTGATTAAGCAGAGATCCTAATAGTTTTCAATCACACTCATAGCCTATACGGCATGGCATCTCAAACAAACTCTCAATGATTTGTTTCCAACATATTCATCTAAATCATGAGCACTACTAAACAAAGGCTCACCAAAATCCAAGTCGACTTGCCGTATGAAGAAGTGCAATAATAGTGTTTTTCATGTTTTAATAATTTCAAACACAAGAAATGTTTTCTCAAGTTAACAACAGAAATCAATAATTATTAGCTGGTGGGTCACCTTTCAAAAAGCATAATAGGTTTTGAAGATGATAAATTCTATAGACCATGAAGAATACGTCATGAAATTTATTCTGGAATTAGTTTTATAGTATAAATTTAAAATTGGCATGATGTGAATTTTATCTAAAATTATTGTGAACTATGGATGTGCTTTCTAAATATTTTTTCCAAGAGTCCTAATAGACTTGAAAGTGGTTTTGGATGTTCATGAAGTGTGGAAAGTGAGGTGACTAGAGAGTTATGTTATATATCGCTTTCGATTGAGTGGCTATTTCTTTGTTTGAGTGACAAGTTGAATAGTATAACATACTTATTAGAAAATAACATAGATTACGATTTGAAATTTCATAAGATCTCTAATATTTTCAAAAGATTTTTTTGTATGTTTTCATAATTGTCATCATGCATTTATGTGGTGAGTCAATTTAGAGGTCACCCCTACATGATGTAGACCAAGGGGAGAATTGCATATTTTTTTTTGTTCGAGTGACAAATTGAGTTAAATTATGATATACATCTTAGAAAGAATGACAAATTGAGTTGAGTTATGATATACATCATAGAAAAAGTAAGGTTATGAGTTGATATTTTATAAAATTTATTTTTTTAGATCATACTCGATAATTATTTAATACGTATGAAATAGAAGAATAGTGTATACTCATTGACTAATCGGAATAAAAAATTCCAAATGTCTTTATTATCCAAAAATTAAATATAAAAAAAAAATCCCCTCATTTTATCTTCACTTTCTCATCATTTGGGCTTTATATAATCACTTTTTGCCTAACTCTTTGGTAACTTTCAACCTCATTAAAGCAATGGTGATCTGTTATAAGGCCGATAACAGAAATGAAAGCTTAGGTTATCCAATAAGAGTGAGATGGAGCATAAAGAAGGAAGTTGAAATGACAGGAAAAGCATGCGCTTTCTATTGTCAATTTTTTTTTTTTTTTTCAATCAATAAATATAAGTATAAAAAATATTATATCATCACACACATCATTAATTTACAATAGTTAGAAAGTCAATAAATAATAGCTAAAAAATTAACAAAGCTTACTTACTAACAACCAAATATCAATCGTAACAACCACTACTAGTTACATATAATTCTCATAATGAAAGAAAAATAAACTATCAATAAAAGATATTACCACTACTAGTTACATATAATTCTCATAATGAAAGAAAAATAAACTATCAATAAAAGATATTAAACTCCTCTCTATAAGAGGTGAATCAATAATTTTACACCACAAAATGCGCTATACAATTATTAGGCCAAACGGCCTAGACCTATCGTCAATATTAGATTTGTCAAATCTAATGATATTTGGGCATAGCTAACCAATGTTTGTTTAATATGGATTATGAAGCAATGTTGTGTTAAGGTGATGTGTCATTTTCTCAGCATGATTAGTTGGTGTAGATGGCATAAAGGTATATTACACTCTCCTCTCAAGTAATAAATAAATTATAATTAGTCTCATAATATTAATAAAATTACATTAATTTCCTTTGTGTCAATTGCACTTTTATTCTTAATAAACGAATTATTTCTCACTTTGGCCCCTTAAAGAAAAGATTATCCCATTTTGGTCTGTTAACTATTTTGAAATTTTCACTTTAGTCCAATTATCAACCCCTGACATGATTAAAAGGCAATTTCAAAAATAAAATTTCTCACTTTGGTCCCTAAAATATTATTTTTTCTCACTTTGATCCATAATTTTTACTTCTGATCCACAAATTCAAACCGAAGTTAATCTCAAAATCATCCCTAGATACCCACTCAATCCGTGCTTTTTACTTTTGATCCATAAATTCAAACCCAAGTTAATCTCAAAACCATCCCTAGAACTCGGCCCATTGCTTGTGAGAGGCGGCCCAACGTCCTGGCCCACAACCTCGATTGAAAATAGAAGTAAAGAAGAAATAGAAGAAAATAAAATTCTCAAAATAGGCCTGAATCTTAGGGGTGATTCTATTTGTACCAAAAAAATTATTCAGTGCGCTCAATTTCTCAATACTACCTATTAAATTATTTAGGATTATAATTTATTCTCAATACACTTTATGTTTTTTTACAAATTATTGTTCAATATAATCATAATTTATGATATATCAAAATAATAAATAAATCAATTCAAACAAAGATAATTTGAATAAACAAATCAATTCAATCTTTAGATCCTCAACACACTTTGTTCCTAGCACTGGAATTCACGATTCCAATGCTTCAAATTCCAAATCCAATTTCACAAATCAATATATAGAAAAGAAAAAAAGAGAAAAGTTAGAAGATCTTCCCTAAAACTGGATTTTTAGGAGATTGAAAGAGTGGATTTACAGGGGATGTGGCTAGGGTATTGAATTGAGTCAAATTAGGAACTCGAGACCCTTGAGAGAGAGAGAGAGAGAGTGGTATTGAAATTACAGCAATAATAGGGACCCTCTTTGTGGAGGACCTCACAACCCCCTTTATGATCCACACCATTCATGATGTGGACCCCACACATACATGAGTGGACCCCACACATCATGAATGGTGTAGATTAGTAAGGGGGTTGTGGGGGTCCTCCACAAAAGGGGGTCTAACTTATTTTTCTTGAAATTAAGCACTTGGAACTCATGAAGACGAATGACACGTTTGTGTGGAAGTGAAAATTAGGCCTGTGTTAATCTCTGGTTCTATGTTAAAGCAGCCATAGTTAAATTTTGTGATTTTTTGTTTGTCTGTTTATTTTTGTGTTATTTTATTTTATTTTATTTTTTGTCGATCTTCACCGAACATATTTGAA